ATATTGCCTTTCTAGCAATTAATCTCAAGGCACTTTCTGTGAAATGCAGTTTGACCTGAGAGAAGTGAAGCATAAACGATTTAGCTAAAAACCAATTGTGTCTCGAACCATGGAAGTGAGAGAATTGCAACAACGGACTATGTAAGTAGGACATAACAAGCAAAGATTTCAATAGAAGTGCACAAAACCAGCACGTTGATGGATAAGAATTACTTACTCCATTCATTCGGAACATCTTCTTGTATTGCTTCCCGAGGGCATTTTTTGGTTCTGTCAAGACCTACAAAACATATTTGCTGGTAAGAAACGCATGGGACAGTACATTTAACAAATAACGTTAAAAAAAAAATCCAAACAAGAAAAACAATACTTGTAAAAGCTTTGAGCACGACAAGAATAAGTAGACCACCATGTTGATTAAAATTAACATATTTCCTCTCAAAGGGGAAAAAAAATTTCAAATTACTGGACGGATCAGTAAGGACTTATTCAAAAGCTTAGTAATGAATAATTAGCCATCAATCCATAAAGACTTTCTGAGATTAAAAATGGTCGAGTAAATGACATAGATGCCTGAGCTGTTTCTACAGAAACAAAAAGAATGCAATGTATTACCTCAACCAATTGATTTTCGGTTAGTGCTGACAAGCTGACAAGGATGGGAAACCGGCCAACAAATTCTGGTATCAACCCATATCGTATAAGATCACTACTTTCAACCTGACAACAAAACCAGTTCTCACATATTTATAAATTTCTAAAGAAGAGATAAAAATAGAAGGAAGGTTATATAAACTGCTACTTGTTGATTCAAAACTGATGGGAACTTACAATCTCCAATAAGGATGATGTAACAGCAGCATCTGTAACCCCGCCGGTCCTCATATTTGCCCTAACAGGGGCACCAAACCCAATAGAGGAATCTTGGCGTCTGTAGGACCAGAAAAAGCCGAAGAAGTACATTAGAGAGAGAGAGAGAGAGAGAGAGAGAGAGAGAGAGGGACAAAACCAGAAGATTATATAATTTCAGTGTTGGGGTATAGAAGTACCTTTCTGAGATTGTCTTCTCTAAGTCAATAAAGGCACCCCCACATATGAAGAGAATATCCTTTGTGTCAATCTGCGAAGAAACATGGGGGAAAAAGAGTAAAATTACAAACTGATTTTCAATGATCTACCCAACCGAAAATCAGTCAACCATAATACACCAAGATATTTTCTAGGCTGAGCACTAGTTAAATCATAAAGAATAGAAGAATAGGCTTATTTTATGATTATGATCAATATGTAATTGTATCCATAAGATAATGCAGTTTAATATAATGTGTAGATAACTCGACATATATCTTCAGCTACCGATATACCTGAATGTTTTCACCTCTAGGGTGCTTTCGAGCTCCCTTCTCAGGAACATTGACAACCTAGATCATAAGAAATCCACAGATCAGAATACAACGAATTAAACCCATATAGGTTAAAATCGTTGATATGAATCCAAGTCATAAATGAGACATCTATGACAGCGTACAAGAATATCCTGACATGGGCCTTGAGGCCCTTGACACAGCCTTAACCAACATGCCATCTCCACAATGCCCGCTAGCATTAGTACTAACAAAGTATGTAAAATGTGCACTTACGGTCCCTTCCAGCATCTTAAGTAAAGCCTGTTGAACACCCTCTCCAGATACATCCCTACTAATATTTAGGCTCTCAGCCTGCAAAATAGAAGCAGAGGTCGGTACACATAAAAGAGTTGAAAGCTTCTTCCACAAAGAGAGAAAGATGAACATAAAAACACACCTTTTTGGTAATCTTGTCAACTTCATCAATATAAACAATTCCCTGCTGTGCAGCTGTTACATTATAATCGGCAACCTGGCATTGAATACAGAAGCACATAGATGAACTTGGGATTACTAAGCACTATAAGCATATAAGTGCACGTTTCAAGAAAATTTTCACGATAAGTGGGAACTCGGTAAGTAATGATAACAAAGGTTTATGGCAAAAATACAACTTTCAAATTTCCCCGCAGAATTATGGCATAAAGCAATTAAAACAGGTTTGCTCTTCTTATAGACTTAAATATAAGATAAGAATGAAACCATAAGCATAAAAGATGTTTCAATAATAGGATTCTTGTTGCCAATTCCAAAATTAATCACAAGAAGCAGAAAACAATTAACAATGCGATGCACATGTAGCACCAAAGGGAGCCCTTGCTATTGAGCATCGACTATCAACACACGAATTCAGACGGACAAAAATAAAATATGTTCAAGAAAATTTACCGTAAGGAGTTTGTATAAAATTGATTCCACATCTTCCCCTACATATCCTGCCTGCAAGTAAACATTGTGTCATGACTACCACAATGACAAGAACAATGCCATTGCAATCCATATTAATCTCTTACAGTTCTCATTACATAGCAATAGAAATTTGGAAAATAACCTAAATAATAAACCATGCATGTACGATGAATATTCTGGGGACCATGATGGCCAGTGTTTTAAAAAAACATCCAAGGTTGATCCTTGCCTAGAGCATAGTGACTCCAAATTTAATGGTAAAGGAAAAACCACTTTCTATTACAAATGGACTCCAATTACAAAACAACAACGAAGAATAACAAAACTTACCTGAGTTAATGTTGTCGCATCTGCAATAACAAATGGAACATTCACAAACCGTGCCAAGGTTTTGGCGAGTAGTGTCTTCCCTGTCCTTGAAAGAGCATCAAAGAGAACAAATGAGACCAGTAACCAAAGCAACATACTAATGAAGACTTCAGTAGCAAACCATTAAAAGACATCCAAACAAGAAAGCATTAAAGACACAAATTTCCAGCTATAATGCAAATACATGCAACATCCATGACACTAAGACGCCCGTCAAATCCAAGCAGCAATTGAACAGTTTAACACATAATGAAAATGTACTTCGAAGTTTTCAAGGATAATTCTAAATTACCTGAGCCTGTTGGCCCCATTAAAAGAATGTTACTTTTTTCAAGCTCCACTCTATCGTCATCCATTGCATCTACTTTCCCGTTACTTGAATCTCCTGTGGACCTAATTTCCCAAGAAGCAGCATTTTAGAAGGTAGGAGTTAGCTTCAGTCAATCCAGTCGGGTTTTGAGTAGACACCAAAACTAAACTGAATTTCACTTTTCATAACTTATAGTTAAAGCTATGAGATATAATTAGTACAAATGCCTTCAATCTACGACGCGAGCCTCGAAATGATTCTTCTTCACATAAAACATAGACTCAAACAAGATATGTATATGGATATGGAGCTGACCACTTCTGCAGGGACTCATGATATATCCTCTTATAGTGATTGTAAACAGCAACAGATAGCACCTGCATAAAATATATATAAATTTTATAAGAATTGCAGAAACATAAACTTCTCCTATATGGAACTCCAAAAGGCAAACAAAAAAACCAAAGCAAAAACTCACCTTCTTGGCCTTCTCTTGCCCAATTACAAACGTGTCAAGCCCCTGACAAATTTCCTTCGGAGTAGGAAAATTATTCCCCAAATTGGAACCACCCCAATTCTCATCCTTCGAATTCGAATCGAAACCACCTCCGGAACCAGGGCTCGGACCGCCTCCACCGCCTCCTCCACGAACCAAATTCGAGCCGGGAGCAGTCCGAACCACAATTCCATCACCGGACCACACCTCCGGCGGGTCCCCCTGAGACGACACAACAGTGTTACACCTGCTGCTGCTCAATTTCCGTCCCCAATTCTTATCACTATTCTTGCTAACTCTCTGGGAAGCTCGCGGGTGATTGAAAATCTGCGAACCCTTTTCAACAAAGTTGCCGCCGGGCAACACCGGCTTGAAGGAAGTGAAGTGGTAGGGAGTGTTCATGAACAAGTCGTCGCTTTTGGTGCGGTGGGCATGGTGAGAGCTGGCCACCCTGCCGGCGTGCATGTAGTTGAAGACAAAGTACCTGAATTGTGAGACGGCGGACGACGCCGTGTCTCTGGAGGGCTTGGATCTGAGCGCCGCGGCCATTGGGGGCGTGAGGAATTTTCCGGGAAAATGAAGGAAAACGAGGGAAAATTAGGATCGAAACATGGATTTTTGGGTGAAAAATGAAAACTTGGTGAGGGGTTTGGGAAATTTGGGGTTGAATTCAACTGGGTTTATCTAAGATTTTGGGAAGTGTGTGTATGGTGCTGGAATTTTGATGGTGGAGTTGAAAATTGAAATTCGGAAGAAGAGTACAAAGGAAAGCAGAGATATTTGAGCTCGATTGTTGCATTAACTTGCAAGAAAGACAATGGAAATATATGAATTTACATAACAGGGCTTGAGGTTTGATCGATTTTCTATTTCACCACGTCTCGTTTGAAGACATCTGCAAGGATAAAAATGTCATTTAACTTGATCAAAATTATATCGCTATTTAATCTTATGTGTTTTGAGATGAGTCCGAACTTAGAGCAACTCAGTAGTCAGTACTCATCTTTTTTTTTTTTTACTGGATTAAATAGTTAATTGTTAGGGGAAAGAAAATCAATAAAAATCGAATTTCTACTATAATGCATAAGCATGATTACTTTATGTCACTGCCATAAAAAATCATAGAACAACTCTTTTACTCATTTTCCAAGAAACTATTTAGAAATGAACAACATCAACCCATACTCATATACTATCTTCAACCGAAGGGTTGAACGTAGCTCCAACAATAATTTATTAATTTTAACTTTAAATTTATTAATTAATTTAATTAACGTACCATTGGACGTTTTCAAACCTAATCATTCAATCATTCAACTGGACTCCAAAAAGGCCAAGGAGAGGCTACATTTGACCAAACGACGCCCTTTAGACAAATAATAATTATAGGCTTTTAACCAGCCACCAATTAGAGAGGAATTTTTGGATAACGCAGACGATTTTTTAGCTTTTAGACCTTTAACCCTCTTCAAGATTGCCTAAACTTGTGAATTATCAAGAAAGTGACAAATGAACACATCAAAATAGGGGCTTATTTACGAAAGAAGGGTGGACTGCCGTGACGCGAGCTACTCCCCTTTTTTGAAAAAAGGGGCTTATTTACGAAGAAATCTAAACATTATCATTTACATCTTTACATGAAATAGTCACAATGCAAGCTATGAAGGCGAAAGATCACTTCTCTACGAGCAAAGCTTTCATAATCCTCAACTCTACAACGTTAAACCGACATCTCCGACCGGCACTTTCAATCGGAATGGCTGCTCCTCCTAAGCTCCCACGCTCCGTTTAATGAACTGCAGGGTTAAACCGATATCTCCGACCGGCACTTTCAATCGGAATGGCTGCTCCTCCTAAGCTCCCACGCTCCGTTTAATGAACTGCAGGGTCCCCGAAAACAATCAGAATCCGTGAACAGAAAACAAGAACTTTCATCATGAGACTGTTATTTTTCGGCATTGGATGATGAGCTTCAGAGAAAGATCACTCACTCATTTTTTGACATCAGATTTTTGGCTTCATTTATAGCATCGCTCGCCGCGAATAGCGCCATCTTCTTCACCTGAAAACAGCAAAATCGTTAAGCGCAAGAGACAACTCCAGGCATGCCGCATTCTGGCATTGTATCGTATACATTCTACGGAGACAATATAAGATTAAGCCCGTAGCATTTTCGCTGTGCAGGTATAATTCTTTGCTAACGTATAGAAATATAGATACGAAAATCATATAATCGTAGTGCTGCCTGCATGCAAAACTAATAGTTCAACCTATTATGATCAGATTATTCGGGATGCAAAACCACCTAACGATGAGCTCCAGGACCAATCCAAATTAACACTACCTCCAATTTATCTTCCTTGGATCTATGCTTTTCCGGAAGCAAGCGAAACTCCTCTGTTAGTCGGATGCATTCTTGAATATTTTCGGGGGAAACAAAATCGAGGGCCACTTTAATGCATGACTGAGAGAAGAGAAAATGAAGACAGTGTCAAACTTGATACATTACACGAATACTGATAATCTAGCGCTGCTAAAGAAAGTAAGTCGTGATAAATTGGCATATCAATGGGAGGAAATCTCACCTTCCTATTTCTCACTTGATGTGGGCATCCAGCAGGAATGAAAACAGCCTCGCCGAGGTGTTGCTCAAATGTCCAAGGCTCAACATCTGAAAGTAATTCACATTCATGGTTAATAACTCGTCAAGCAAGAATTACTCGGTTAACAAGAATGACTACCTAAATGCACGCAACTCCTTACCAAACTCTTCCTTCAACTTCTTTTTATGCTTCTCATTAAGATAAAGAGTCTGGTCGTGAATAGGATGAATAACCTGAAGCAAATTCAAGTGCAGCACATCAACTTAGAAACGACTTAATTCAAAGTAATATTTGCAAATGGGATAAGCCATGATACGTACAGAATTCACGGGGGAATTACTGATGTGGTAGAATTCTTTGTGATGCTTCTGTAGGTACTCTTTTAACTTGGGTACATCTTGGCGACGGAAAATGTCCCACACAGCACCTCCATATACAACCTCTGAAGTATCATTACTTCGAGCATTTCTAGTTGGAATTGAACTGGACTCCAGGGCATTGACAAACTTCATGTCTTCTGTCAAATTAGAAGGCTCAAGATATTCGTTACATGAATTCCTTTCAATTATTTCATTTTCAGCTTCATATTGCTTCTGTAATTGGTTGATGATTTTCCGCTGTCGTGGAGGAATCTTTACTTCCGTTGTGTGTGTCAGCACATTAACCTAAACAGAAATTGTGAAAACGGTTGAAGTAGCAGTGGAATTGCATAGAAAAATGAGAACGATACGCAACAATAGCTAATAAAGAATAAATCCAAAATTGATTAATTGTGTACCGCATCAGAAATGTCACAGTGCAGTTTTGTTACTGAATCACCTCTACCAAGCTCCTCCATTGTTCCATAAGCGATGTACGTCTTTGGTCCCAAGTCTGGCTTTAAGGCAACAGGAAGCTTAGTCGCAAGATTTAGAACACCCGATTTGGGATGGGTATAGTCACAAAATGGAAGCATGGCAATACATTCAGCAAAATGCCTTGGTAAACACTCGTCAAAGGAATTTGATGCGGGCCAATCCTTCAGCTTCAACATCTCTGGCCACCCAGTACTATACTTACGGCCCTCTATATAGCCCTTAAAGAACTGAAAAATATTAATCTCAACCTGCAGTGCCAAATTGAAAGACGGTTAAACAAATATAGGGGAGATGAAATTCGCATTCAACATGTTGAAAGTTCACCGCGTACCTCACACCAATCAAGGCAATCAATGGCTTTGACCCTGACAGCCTCCTCTTTCAATACTTTTTTCGCCCCAATAAAAGCCCTCCACATAACCATTGGTTCCCAGCTCAGGCCAGCAGCCTTTTTTAGTACATTCCTAACTACAACAGGTTCGCCTCTCGTCCAGTGTAACTGGAAATGCTCAATATCATTGTCCCCCAGATGAACAGAATTTGGGCAGTAGAGAAAGTTATCATGGGAGTGCTCCCTATAAGCCGCCTGCCTTACTTCAGAAGCTTTTACTCCATCTCCAGCAGAACTGATAGAATGGCACAAAGAACATCCTCGAGAAAAATCAATATCTGGTGCCTGATAATTGATAGTGAGGTACTCGGAACTCAAAATTAGTTTTTCAACCCAATTCGCTTCAAAGATACGTCTCAGTTCAAGTAACTGGGCACCACAACCTCCCCGTGCTTTCGGAGGACAAGGAATCCTACCATCAGCCTCCGCTATCCAATCAGGAAAATCAGATGACATATCAGTTGTGCACCCATTTAATGGTACAGCCATTTCGCTCTGCGATACATTCCCATTAGCAGGAATCTGGCCATTTGTGACTGTGCCTTTACCATATACTCTTTGAAAAGACTGCCGACAAGATGATTCTGCTTCACCACCTCCAGGCTGGCATCCTTCCCTTAGTTCCGAGCAACAAGTGAGACAGAGGTCGTAAGAACAATCAGGATTAGGGCAGCTTCTGTGGAAATTGACAATGGATGTGTTGCAATTGTCACTGTAGAATTTGTTCACGGTCACAAACTTGTACCATATGAATGAAACTAAAATACATTTGACTCAAATCGTAGGATATTCATGAACACCAGTACTTATTGGTAAGTAACCCCCCAGAAAACTATGTGATCAGTCAAGTCCAAACCTACCTAGTAAGATGGTAACAGAGTAACCATTTTATTTATCAACATAACCGATTATATTAATATACACTTATGAAATTGCTGAAAAAGTAACTTCATAGATAACCAGTATTTCAACTTCAATCATAAGGGCGAATGAGATGATACCAATACACTCGATCATCATCCTCTAGTATGGATCTCGTGAGGTCCTCCTCTGTCATCTGGACACCTATAAAAACAAGTAGGGAAAACCCATCCTTAAAACATTTCTGAACCATCAACCCAGCGTATAAAATGAGATTTAAAGAAAGAAAAAAAAAATCACATTACAATACCCTGCAAACAGCATTCCACATCTAATTCAGACTTCTGCTCCTGTTGGATATGCCGAAGGAGAGGAAGTGTCTTGCATAGCAAGTAAAGCAACTTTTGCAACTTAACATTTGCATTTGTTTCTTCATTCCCAGCCTGTAAAACAAGTACTTTGTTTGGTATAAAAAGGAAAAATTACTTTCCTAGGGCAGGAAGAAACGAAAAGAAGAAGAAAATCAAGGTAAGGCTCACACCACCACAACTAAATCCTCCTTGAGGCATATTCGGCAGTTGCAGTTACCACGACAATATGGACATGCAATCTCTATGTCCTGTTTTGTCTTGTCTGGGTACCTATTCATTTAAATGAGCACACCATCAGAAACATTTGATGAGACTCATTCATATCAGCGCTATAAAAGAACATTCATATTAATCGACAATTAACAGAAAAGTTTACGTTGCGACAACCAAATGATCATTGAATTGGAATTACCACTTTGCAAGGCATGCGTAGCAATAGCGTTTCCTTCTGCAGTTTAAACAAACGACGACACCTTTTCTGCCATTCTTCAAGCACTGGTGGCACATTAAACTCTCCTTTTTATCATCCTAAATGAAAAAAAAACTGTTAGAATGCATTGCAATAGACTATTTGAATTATTACTTGTAGAGATATATATTCTATATGTAGGGAAAAGACACATAGGATGTTTGTACAAAGAGAAGTGGCTTGTTCAAATGAGTAAACATGCTGATAAGCTTGTTCAGATAATTAATCAAGTTAGGAAATATTGAATGTAGGACAACTCACCGACATATCAGTAGATTTTCCCCTGTTAAACTCACTGGTAATCGGATGCTGGTTGTTGAACTTCCGGGGTCTCCCTCTAGGCCTCTTATGGCAATTGTTTTCTATATCATCAGAGTTTTTCAATTGCTCCACAGGGAAAGCAAAGTTCTTCCGGGGTCTCCCTCTAGGCCTCTTATGATAATGTTTTTCCATATGAGAGTTTTTCAATTGCTCCACCGGAAAACCAAAGTCCTCCTTCAAATCCTTTTCTTTCTGATGTTCTACCTCCAATACTGATGTTGAACTTTGATGCTGCAGTGCTGCAATCTTACTCCAAGCTTCAGCAATAAGAATTTGTCTCTTTTTCTTTGAACCCTTAGGTCGGCCACGCTTTTTCTCTGATCTCTCATCTCTACCATCAACTTTTTCAACGTTTTCCCCTTCCTGCCTTCGGTGTTTTCTAACAGCAGCATTTAGTCTCTTGGTTTTTGTACCCTTCGATCGACCATGCCTATCTTTTTGTTGGGAGTCCACATTTCCTCCTCCATTATTACCAGAGGCTTCCACAGGCATTCGCTTATCTTTCTCACCCAAAAGAATAGGCATCTCATTCTCCAAACCCTTCACGGAAGCATCTTCACCATTACCGTGATTGCCAACTACTATATCACCAGGCATTTCCTGAATTGGCTCACCTACAATATTTTTCTTCCTAGTCTTTGAACCCTTTGGCCGACCACGCTTCTTCTTCATCAGAACATCCTCAGAAGTGGCTCCACTTGGCAATCTCCCCATTTCTTCTCCAATAATGATCTCATCCTCCAGCCCTGTCGAACAGACAACCTCAATCTTACTATCATTACCAACATTTTTCTTCTTATTCTTTGAACCCTTAGGCCGACCACGCTTTGCCTTCAACCGCACAATCCCATCTCCAACTTCATAACCACTGCACACTTTAACTTCCATTTTCTCGCTTTGTTCACCCATGAGATCAAGCATTTCTTTCTTCAAACCGATAGGCGGAGCAGATATGTCAATGCCCTCGGCCCCTAATATTGACATGCCATAATTTTCCTCTCCTATAAGATTTTTCTTGGTCTTTGAACCCCTTGGTAGACGAACCTTTTTCTTTGGCTGAACGATCTCATTCCCAACTCCATTGCTGGTGGTGGCTATGGCAATCAATTCCTTAGTTTCGTCACCCACAACTGGCGCCAAAGCCTCAATTTTATCATTCACAATAGCCTTCTTTCTAATTTTGAAACCCTTTCGTCGAGCTTGCCTACTCTGTGGCTTCACAGTCCCTTCTCCACCCACATTTTCACCAGGCATACCCTCATTTTCATCATCTGCAAGGTTATTCTTTTTCTTGTTCTTGGACCCCTTCGGTCGACCTTGCCTGCTCTTTGGCCTCACAATCTCGCCTTCACCCACATTTTCTCCAGCAATTCCACTCGATTGCACAACACCCTCTTCAGCACCAACAACTTTCTTCTTGTTCTTTGATCCTTTCGGCCTCCCACGCCTCCCTTTTGACCCAACCCCCTCTTCTTTAGCATTTTTTCCAAGTTTATCTTCGCCACATTCACCTCGTCTCTCCACCATTCCACCTCCATTTCCAGACGCATTTCCACTCAAACAGCCCTGATCTCTTTCACCACCCCATATCGAACCACTCTCAGCGCCTAAAAGCCCGGCGGCTCCGCCTCTGACTCCACCACCAAACAGGCCTTGAATTCCCTCACCGGCATTTTCACAAGCATATAGATCACACCCAACAACTTGATTTCCCACACCACCGCCAAGTCCGCCACAAGAATGCTCACCACCCCAAAACCCAATGCCTCCACCGCCGCCGTCAAGACCCAAACCGCCAACGGGGTCCTTATTTCCAACAAACCCAAATCCAAAATTCTCGCAACCCAAAATCTTACCTCCATTTCCAGAACCAGCTCCGCCGAAGCCACCTCGAAATTCTTCAATTCCAAAACCTTGACCGCCAAATTTACATACATCTCCACCACCACCACCCCAAAAGCTCACACCTTCACCATCAATCCCAAGGCCGCCGCCACTCACTTCACCAAAAAGGCGCGCAATTTCATCCCCAACACTCAGCCCTCCGCCGTTTCCACCGCCAAACCACCCTTCAGCCACCTCCCCAGCAATTCCCAGATCCCCATTTCCCAAAATTTCACCACTTTCCTGCCTAATTCTCTTCTGCCTCTGTTCACCCCCTTCAGCTCCCCCGCCATTTCCACCATTCCCAACCTCCTCCTGAGCTTTCCTCTTCCTCTCCCCTTCTTCCACCACCTTCTCCATCCTCCTTTGACCGCTCACTCCTCAGCTGCAACCAGACATACCGCTTCAGCTCACAGAATTCCAAGTTCTTACAACAGGAAAATGATCAAACATCCAAAAAACCACCTTGGAAAAAGAAACGAAACTGCCTACTGTTTGTGTTTCTGTCACTCGTAATTACTATTGTTTTGGGACATTAAATGTTGTTGGGCCGAACAGACACCGAGAAGTCCATCGGCTTTCGAACTATCTTTTCTGGCTTTTTTTTTTTCAGTTGGAAGGGACAGACAACACCCATGTGTGACTTTGGGCGACGTCATTTTCATGGATGGGTGGTGGACCAGAGATTTTTTAGTGTGCCGCTAACACATTTTGTTACACCGAAATTTATGACACTTAAAGTACTCTATCATGTTCTCGACATACTAAAAAAAATTTCTCCGTTGAACCGTCTATGTGATCTTATTTTGCTGGCAAAAGGTGGAGAAATATGACTTGGGAAAATGATGTCAGTAATAATTTGATTTCTAATTTTTTATTTTAAGGATCGATAAAACTCTTACTTAAAATTAAATAGAAATAAATTAACGTTGAAATCAATATGAATAAGTTAAAATATTTAAAATTTGGAACACTTACACAATTACGGGCGTGAAAAAAATAAAACGTCATTTATATTTTTAATTTTTTCAAATATAACGTGACTATTTTGACAAGACAATAGTGGCATAACCGGAAGTGAGCTGACACAACTAAAATCTATGTGATCTCATGTTACACTAGGGTCCAGGAGGATACCCTTCCGATTCTCTTGATGAGAATCGAGAATCTTTAAATCGTGTTCGTTCATTTTATATAATATGATTGGCTTTTGTCAGATGCTATTCATATTTAATTTAAAATAAAAGTATTTAAAGTAATTTTTAGCCACACGATATAAGATGAACTAACATGATTTGAAGATCCACATCCTCATAAAGAGGATCCTCATTCCAGGAAATGATTCTCTCTGGATTCCTTCCACTTAATCCATCAAGTTCGGAGATATTGGTCATTGAAATTTAATCAAATAGCTAAAGTTACTATTTATAGCTATTAAATCAAAATTTAATGACATGAATCCCCGAATTTGATGAATTATGAGGAAGGAAAATGAAGATGATTATTTCCCTCATTCCACTGGGGCGGCCACATCTGATAAGAGTTTCATTTTTTAATTATTTTTTTGGGTCTGACAAGCCAGATTTTTATTCGTCGTGATTTCCTCGGACTGGAATCTTTGACTTCATACGACCTGTCGTTACCATTCAGCAGTCCCTTGAATTGAAACAGTTAAATATCAAACTACAGGCGATTTTAACAGCAAGGTTTTATGGTCTATTGGTCAGGACACTGGACCCCGGATCCCATAACCCGGGTTCAAGTCTTGGTAGATCCTTTCACGCAACCCTTTTTTTGTTTTGTTTTTTTTTTCATTTTTTAGATTTGGCAACCAATGGATCCGGTCTCGCCATGACAATTTTGAACACAACCCGTAACGCCATGCGTACATGATTAACACTCTTTAACCTTTTTAGTGTCGATCAACTTGTGAGTTAACATAAACACAAAACATCCAAAAAGGATAAACCCGATCGTGCCCATCGCAACAGCGGAAGAAAACAGATTCCTCTCTTTGGTTGGAGATCGGATTTCCGTACCTCAAAATTGTACCTCAGTTCTAACACAGGCTTGATCCAACTGGTGATTTATAAGCTTCAACTACATTTGGGAAAACAGTTTCAAGACAGATGTTACACCTTCTTCTGATTAATAAAAAGGGCGACACCAAGCCAACAAGGTTTCCCGCTTTTGGAAGGTCGGGCAACGTCTAGCGTACGCAGCCTTACTCTTGCTCTGCAATGCACACTTTTGATCAATGAGGTCCTAAAAGAAAAACAATAGCCAACAGAACGAGATGTCAGTATTTGCGGCATCTTCGCCATTAGCCTCTCAGTGTTGTCCCGTTTCTCCTTGGCCATCCGGTCAACCGTCTGCCCTTTCCTCTTGGTTTTCATTTCTTTCCTCGCCGGGTCATATGGCCAGTCCTCTCCTGCAAGGAGAACTTCCCTTCGAATTTTAGCTCGATATTCTAGCAGACAGGGTGTTAAGTTTCTATCCCGATATTCTAGCAGACAGGGTGTTAAGTTTCTATCCTAGTAGATAGGTCGTCTTCGTATGGAAAAATGGTGCATACACTTTTATCACAAAGTCACAAGCATTTGAGAGGACGAACAAACAGAAAAATTCCTCAACCTAATTCTGGTTCTACGAGGCCCTAAACTTCAACAAACGAGCCCCCTCACTAGACTCAAAGAATATGCATTTTCCCACTACGCTTTCGTGGCTTTCTAAAACATAGATGAAAACGTGATCCTCAGCCGGACTCTCAACCAGACAAAGCTCTGAAGGCTCTCCCTTCTGTTTGGTTCGAAGGTGCCTCGTTCCTTCAATGTACTCGTCAGTTGTCACCTCGGGGTCATTCTGCCTTGCGGTGCATAAAGTTGATGCTGCAACGATAAAGGCCGCAATTAAAACTCAATGACGAAGGAAGGAAAATAAAGCAAAACTACACAGATGATAAACTACTCAACACGGGCTACCGTCTAGTGCAATAGCAAGTTTGAAATGATTTATTCAGTATCCACGATTTATATAACTATTCATATTCCCTAATGTCCCACAACAATGTGATGAACACGTATTTAACACTGCCCAAGGACGGAATGAAAAAGGGTCCTAGAATCCAGCACTGGTCTAATAATTTCGTTTTATCGGGTTGGTGCCTGCAACTGAAGGCACATGGCAGGTTACTTTTACGCCTATACTGCACCTTATTGTTAGTTAAGATATGTTACGGGTGTTACCTGAGTTACATATGATGAGCTATCCGCCAGGAACTTGAGAAAATCTTGCTTCTTTCTGTCAAAATTGAACTTTGCGTTGTCCAATAATGATTGTTCACTCTTCATATCTTCCTGCAGTTTGTCTTTTTTCCGCTTCAACTCATTGATTTGTCTTTCAGACTCGAAATAGTTTTCGGGTAGGCCTGATGTTGCTGACAGTATGGGGAATCTCACATCTACATCTTCCCTGACATCAGATATGTTTTAAAACTAAGACGTTAGCAGCAAACAAAATCCATGTTAGCATTAACAAATGACAACAATATCTAAACAATTCAAAAGTTATATATATCTTAAATTGTTTGCACGTTAAAATTTACAAAAGATGGTTTCAAAAGACAGAACTACTTCAACACAATATGGGGTTAAAATTAGTTTTTGATTTCATTTATTGGCAGAGCTTCTTACCGGTTGCCAAGAGAAAACACACCAGTTGACCTAATCATCCCGCCATCTAAAGAAATGGCTCCATCACTAATACAAGGAAGAGCAGGAACCATATCTGCCCTTGTTTTATATACTTGCAAGTGACCAAAGAGGCTATAAAATAAAGTCGCTCTTAGTCCATGCCCAGTGGCTGTGAGACAATATAAGTTAGCGCTATCCACATTAATCATATTTACAGCATAACCAAGAAATCCAGGTGGACACTCCCCATTGGCTAACCTAGGCTTTATAATATCAAGCCTCATCTGTGGGTCATTGGGCACAGATGCACCAGCATATGGTCTGCAGAAGAAGAAAAAAAATAGAATTTGATTTCATAGTCGATATAGTGAAGTTTACAAATCAATATTTGTTCAGATTGCTTGAGGTGTGACAGTATATAGGACACATACCTTAAATTTTCAAGACAAATGACCTGAAATCGGCTGTCCAATGTCCTACCAATGGATGAACCAAGTCCATGAAGACCAGCAGATTTCTTTATGCAGCCTTCATTCTCATACACTTCTAGAGCTTTAACACCCTCATAAGTTTTACAGACAATTGCCAACATAGTCTCGATCCCTAAGTACTCTGAAAAAATCCTGCACATTCCAAATAAGCCGAATGAAAACTAGGTCCGGTATAGTTATAGGCCTAGATAGATAGGGTGGGAAGGGGAGAGCTGGAGAGGGGGTCAATTAGAAACATTTTCATGGCCAGGTGTTATCAATGTGCTCATTCTACACTGCCCCTAAACTAATGGGTCCGTTTACACCTGGTCAGTACAATTCCATCTCTATTACAACAAATATATCTATTGCAGTACTATGGTGCCTAAACTCACCCCTCACTATCCAAAATCAAAGGACTAGTAGTGAAATGCACGGAAAAGCACAGACACAACTACTAATGTGGTCATATGACTAAAGCACAATTTCACAACTTGAGAAATAAGTAACAACAAACAATATGGGAACTTTGACCTGCTAAGATTATCATCCTCTACTTTGCCAAGCATACCAACAATACCCACGACATCCTTGATCGGGGAAAGAAGGGCAGCCTGAGTACCATGACGAGTTTTCAACTGCCATAAAATGCCTGCGGCAGACTTCTCATGCTGAAGAATCTTTTCAGTAGTTTCCTCCTCACTTTTACGGCAGGAATGGCCATCATCTTCGATTTTAGGAGTGGTTGAGGTGTGATACTTGCCTAGAATAACTGAAAGGAAATGCTTCAGTAGAGAAACTATGGAAACAAAGAAAAAGTGCCCAACAAAGTATTGCGAACTGTGTACTTACATATTTATTAACAATTTTAGTTCACTTGTTTGAACTAGATTTATTACATCACCAATGAAATGTAGATAATGGAGGAAGAAGAAAAAGAAGATATTATACCTTGCAAATCGAGAATAGAGTCATCTAGTTTGTGCTTCTGAGACTTCAGCAGTTTTATGTTGTCCTCATGTTGTTTAATTTTCATTCCCATCATTTGTAAATCGTCTTGAAGTTTCTGCATAGATTAGCTCTTTGAAAGTCAGTTAGTTTGATCCATCCTTGCTCCAAAAAGGATCCTCCACGATAATTTCATTAATCATGAATAACAAAAACATCAAAATGCTACAATTTTGTCATGATTAATTAATTACCTTTCTTCTCAAAAAATTAATTAATTACCTTGAACGGAAATGCAAGGTGAAATATCAACTATATATTACCAAAATGCATGGAAAATCATAATATAAAGGGTCTTGAGAACAGGTTCTTGTACAACCTTAGTGTAATAGATGATGGATTCTGCTTGCGAGAAGCCTCCAGTTTTGACTTCATCCTGCACAACCACACTAGTTTCTTTTTTATCTACTTGCATCAAAGCTGCAGGATCTTG